TATAGATCGAACAACACTATACTTTGTCCTTAGATAAGTAGAGAAAATGCATCTTAACAACATAGTCTTCGACTAACAACATTCATCCATAAATATGTTTTCTGTTTCAATCACCTTATTTTACTTACATGTGATGGCAAAATGCAGACTTCTGTTCTTTGACAATTTTGTACAGTGAGATCGGATAATAGTACATACTGTTTATAACTGTTTCCTAATAGGTCAGAATTATCTTGTAAGGGGAAATGTCATACAAATCGATGAGGGGCATCAATTCCATTCATTACCTATCTCAAAATATTTAACTCATAAATCATTGCTTCGACGGAAAGATAATCGTTTGCAAAAGAATAAAATTAATACAGGTATGATAAAGAAATTATAGCAACGACGAGGTGAAATCAAAACGATTTTTACATTAGTCCACTCCGTTACCTTAAACGAAGAAAGAACGAACTTTTGTTTGAAATATTTGTTTTCTTGTGCAGGAGCGCAAGTCATGTCTGAAATCGGTGTCTTTGCTGACGATTTAATAAAATTTTGGAGAAATCGATTGAAGCCGTTATCATTGGTATTCAATCTATTTTCTGCTTCATATATGTCGCAGAACTTTTTTTCCAATTTTTTTTCCAGTCTCTTATTGCAAAAATTCGTTTCTGTAACATGCTGACATACTGTTAGAGGGTTCTTTTTTACAAAAATCTGGTCAGTCTTTAATCAATCCAAGCTTCGTTACACTCAATATAGGGTAGGCTCGTGGGTCCGCCGTCTATGCATGCATCATGTTCCAGTTTCATAGAGACTGCGTTGAAAATCTCCTTAAAAGGTCCGTGTTAGGGTGGATGGACTCTCTCTTAAAAGAAAGGAATCCACTGTTAATTGATGGGATGGAAAATATTGAGGTCAATTTTTCACTGTTTATTCTAGGATGTTATTTTTTTGAGGTTCGAATCAAACATCACACGTCGTACAGGTAAAACCAAGTTTAGCATTACAGAAACTCTCAGTGCTGTCAACCACACGATGGCACTTGACGCATATAAAACAAGCGCTGTGGTAGTTTTGATTCTTGAATGTTGTATACTTGGCGGTAGTGATCGGCTTAGAACATTTGACGCATCGTGGTGCGAAGTGCTCGTTGTGACACGGTTCACAATGAGGTTTCGAATTGTGTGTAGACAAGTCTTTTTCGCCTTTCAGTAACTAAACAAAACATAGTGTTGTTCGGGCCGATTTGGAGTTGTTGGGGACCCTCTTTCATATAGATCGAACAACACTATACTTTGTCCTTAGATAAGTAGAGAAAATGCATCTTAACAACATAGTCTTCGACTAACAACATTCATCCATAAATATGTTTTCTGTTTCAATCACCTTATTTTACTTACATGTGATGGCAAAATGCAGACTTCTGTTCTTTGACAATTTTGTACAGTGAGATCGGATAATAGTACATACTGTTTATAACTGTTTCCTAATAGGTCAGAATTATCTTGTAAGGGGAAATGTCATACAAATCGATGAGGGGCATCAATTCCATTCATTACCTATCTCAAAATATTTAACTCATAAATCATTGCTTCGACGGAAAGATAATCGTTTGCAAAAGAATAAAATTAATACAGGTATGATAAAGAAATTATAGCAACGACGAGGTGAAATCAAAATGATTTTTACATTAGTCCACTCCGTTACCTTAAACGAAGAAAGAACGAACTTTTGTTTGAAATATTTGTTGTGATTGAACTAATGATACGCAATATAAATTTTATTTTCTAATTCAGCACAACACATTGACTATTCCGATGGTAAATAATGAACATGATCATGTTGCGATAAACAATAAATATTTAACCTAACAATTTACGAATCGTCATCCATGTTCGATTAATCCTTAAGTATGCCCGGAACCTAGGATCATAGCACATTGGCCTAATTGCAATTCTGGCGCCAACAATACATGCAGTAAAAAAAGCACAAAAGAACGTCAGAAGTATATAAATCAACACTTTAATAGTATCCTTACTCCAAAACGAGCACAATAAAAACTGCCCTAAATTGCTAAAAATTATGGCGTTAGTTCTAATCTGACGATTCCCAGCGACTCATCTTGCTTATGTGCTAATTAGTAAATTCTTTAGTATATAATATAGTACTCGTTGCAGTTAAGGAGGGAACCTTTCCAAGTGAAAAAAGCTTTGAAAACTAGCTTTTCTGAGTCATTAGGTTGCATCCATCGAGAATATACAAAATCCATAATGACTTGTCCTTTTTTTGCGTAGTTATAACCATTTTATTGAGTTTCAGGCATCGTGCAGACGGTAGCATAAGAGATCCAATGTCACTACCTACAATAATAACAAACCTACGAGCTCTAGATTCCACGATTTTTGGATTTCTCTAGAATTCCGTTATCGAATTAAAAGCTCTACAAACGCTGAAAGTTTTCATCAAAATTGGAGGTCACCTCTGTACGTTGTAACTGAGAGTCCACGGAAAAAGTCTTCTATAACGTCGGTAGATAAACATTTAGGGTCTCTAGAGGGTGAAAACCAAAACCGGGCGTAAAGCCCTATATATCAGAAGACAGAGCGCTCGATGCTCTACAAAACCTAGTATGCCGCCATTCAGCCCATTCAGCCAAATTCGGCAGGGACTTGCTATTACGAGACAGAGTTTGTAGTGGTCAATCGACTGTCTTGCTATCTAAAATTCGCTTTTCAGTGCTGAACTATTTCATTTATAAATGGTTCGATAGAGTTGAACACGGGCTATCAGAACATATATAGATTGTTGGTTTTTGGTTGTAAAATAAGGAAATAATGTCCTCGGACTGTTCTCCCAAAAACCAGAATTTTTTAATTTTAGCATATTTTCTGCTAAATTCACTTAATTGTATTTTGGTTCGTTTTAGGCCAAGTTACATCCAAACCTATAATAGTTTGGTACCAAACTGATCAGCTCGTCGAGCTCTATAAACCTTGAAAGTTTCAACCAATTCTGAGTTAGTCGTGTATATTGTGGTAGGTTTCCTATGGATTCACCCACACACTTCTGTAGCTGGTGCTGTTACTTTTTTCTTTCTTCACTTTTTTATTCTTCGTGTCACTCGACGAATATCATCAGAGAAGCACGCAAGAATAAGCGAACGTGATAGAATGAGAGAGAATCAGCATTCTTTATGGCAAGAGATATATCTTGCCATAATACTTTCCCCACCACCAAAAGAAAAGAACGCAATACGAAAAGAAACACGAAAGAAACTTTGACTAACATAAGACACGAGAGTGCGCGGAACAATGAATAACCCAGGTCGAAGATTCCGGCCTCCGGATATGGCAGGAACCTTATGGAAACGATGCTTTTTCCGGCCCATTGCCGCCGTTTCCTGCAGGAAAATTACCGGAACCGGTCGGAAAAAACACTGGAAGCAGAAGCAGTAATCAAGGCCGGAAAGTCGCCGTACCGGAAATGTGACCTTCCACAGGATTCCGGCCACCGGAACTCAACCAGAAATAAATCATATCCCGTCGGAACAACAAAGGAACCTGCCGGAACCACATAGGAATCTGCCGAGACTACATTTGAACTAGACCAGATCCACTCGGAACCACTTCGGAAGTACATCGTAAAGCATTTTTCACCATCTAGCGCTAGATGCAACTGGTTTACAATCATTTTTTGGACTAGTGCGTGCTACATCGGGTTTGAATTGTGCCATCGTGTGAGACTAGCTGCAGCTAGCTAACCAGATTGTTATTACTCTTTTAGCCAGCTGCGTTCTCTACCAAACGTCGCTGGTTTTCTTGGCTTCTTTTTTCATGCTTGGACATGGAGTTCTTCGGTGCATCGCGATTGGCGAATAATCTACAATATACTGGAGGAGAACAGCACTGATCTAAAAATAGGCTGAATGACTGGCCTCCTGGTTTAGGAATATAAAATATTTGTGTGCTTTTAGTGAGAACCGCAAGTTCTTGTCTTTCTTCTCTCAAACGCCGTTCAAATACATTCACGATCATTTAATTTGAGATATATAGTAGAAGTATTAAAGCAAAGAAATAGAACAGTAAGCATGATTAGAAGTCTTCTTAGAGTAAACAGAGAAATTTATCGAGTCGAACTTATTCCGAAACAAACTGCATATTTCTCGAAGCTGGAGGTTTTTTCAAAAACCTCTAGTCTCACGAAACAAAAGTTCAAAAATCGATTAGTCGACATGTCGAGACGATCATTTGAGCGATCCTGCTATTTGGGCGATCGACACTTCAGCGACCCTAACATTACCGCCAATCGATATTTTGAAAGCGGAACAGGACAGTTGCTCGCTAGAAAGATTCCTACGTTCGGCAGTACATTGAAAAATTACAAGGAGAATCACAGCAGAATCAAACAAATCTGTTTTATAGGATTTCTTCTTTGATGGAATATTTGAAGTTGTACTAGAAATTTATTTCAGTAGTCGTAATTCATACGAGTTATCATGAACATGTTTTATCGGCATCATTTATACTGTTACCTTGGAAAAGTGGTGAGGGGTGAGAGTGGTGAGGAACTCTTCCTCAGATAATTCAATTCATAATCGGACGACAAAAAAATTGTTATCATCATCGTTATCGAAGTGAACAATCATTCCGTCTTCCTGATCGGAAAAAGTCATATTGAAAAGTGTCTAATGTCAGGGTCGCTCAATTGTTAAGATAGCTCAAATGTCGGACGCGCAAACGTCGGTTGACGGTTTGAGCCAATCATAATTACATACAATTATATGCAATACAAAAGTTTTAATCTGTTTGGACATTAGACATAAGAAAACTGCATGCATTTTAGAATACGCACGCAGATACTTTTTGAATCTTTCGACGGATCGGATCCGATTTTCTCAGACGCAACAATTATTCATTCAATGAACAAGTAAAAACGATCGTTACATAAGCAAAGACATTGTCAGCCCTGCGACAGTCGGAATCAACGAGTTCAAATTCAGGGCTGGTTAAAGTCTACAATGGTTTGTTTGACTTGTTTGGTGCTGATCTACAGAATATTGATATAATGAAAGAGACAGTGATGTATCGCAATTCTCAATTTCCTTGACTAATGCGTATCTAATAAATGCGCTACGTATCAATTTAGATTTGTTTTATTATGATTTTTATCATGCATATCTGCAGAATGCTAGTTTTGAATGATATGTTAACTTTTGTTCGACTATCTATCTGTCAGTCATTTTGAATTCTTTTACAGCAGTGTTTTCGAAACTGTCCGGTAACGACGTTAAGATCACGTGATTATTGGCTCCTATGCTATCAGCAGCGGCATCCCACTTGTTGTGTCTCACCTACAACCAAATTTTAAAAATTCTGTAATGTATTACGTCGGAAAGATGTGCTTCTGCTGAGTCTCAGAAACTCGAGTTCGCAGTTCTTAAACTAGATTAACAAATCGATCATGTTCAGACGGCACACGATTGAAACAGAAGGAGGCTGTAAATTTACCGCGTGAACAAAGATTTAACACCTTCGCATTTTCTTATTTTTTGTCGTGTAACACAGAACGAAAACGGTAAATGATGGAGTTTGGATCATAAGTGCATAGAAACTTAGTTATTTTATACACTTTGTGCCTAAGCAGATTTGACATCTGATGCTTGATTTGTTCAGAACAATATTTTGGGTTTCATCGGCGAACTTTGTATGTGTAATTTGGCATATATACTCGTTCCGATCAAATCTTCTAAATTTGTACTTAACTCGCCTTTGTGATTAATTAATACAATGTGAGATTTGAAGGCTATGGCGACCTGATGAAGGCAAAATATTATATATTTCCTTGGAGATTATCTGTAGTTGCTGAATTACAGTATTACAGAGAAAAGAGAAAAACTAAATAAGTATTCTATTAGATATGGAATAAAACCGGGAGTTTGGATTTACCATGATAACACATAGTCAGCTGATATACTTTGTATATCAGACGGATATAGAAGCGTTGCATACGTAGAGTAATCAACCATACTATATCGCCTGATTAACGTATCCTTCACAGCCATCCATGCTCTTCGTTGTTCCGCAGGTGGATAATCTTCTTTTCGTAGATCACCAGTTTTCGATTTTGCGTCTAAATCATTAAACCATTTTCGTTGTCTCGTAGCATAGTACTTTCGGGCAGGGTAAAATTTCTCTTCACCAATGTAAATTGTGCTTGTTTTCCAATTTTGATAACATAGCCCTAAACTTGGATGCTTTAATTAATCATAAAGAACTTTTCACTTTGTGTTGAATTGACTTTGACTGTGTTGAATTTTCCATCCTTTAAACGCACAGTGGGCAACTAAGCGGACATTAGGCCAAAAAGTCGATTTTATCTATCTTGAAATACAAATAGTGCAAAATGTAGCTCTTGAAATTCTCTATCGAATGGTGTATAAACGTCTATTGTGAAAC